GAGATTTATCGCTGACAAGCTTTCCGAATCGGCTTTCTGACAAGATGCGCATTAAATATCGCATGCGATTAATCATGCAGCCCTAGTATAATACATTTCTATTTCTACATACAAATATATTTTCAACAAAAACCTTTATTTTGTGGAAAACACAGTGATCAAAATTAAAGAACAGTAACCACTATAGCACATACAGGGTTTCTGCAGGATATTAAAGCTCACATTTTTGAAAAATACTTTTTGAAACCTTTTTTAAGACCTGCACAAATAAAATGAATACCATATAAGCAGGGAATGGCAGTATCTATGGTAACATTAAACTGTAAAATTATTGCAAAAAGCATGATTTACAGTTCAGATACAGGTTTTCACAAAATCTAAAAGTTTAAGGACCATGGCCTTCACATCTCATCCTTTAAACCATTTTTATGAAAATGAAGAAAAAAAAAAAAAAACGGTTACTATAGTTAATCCATGGTAACAACAAATTAACCATGGTTTTGCTACACTAACCAGGGCTGGAAATGGGGGAGGAACGCAGGGGACGGAGTCCGGGGAGTGAATTTCGAGGGGGGACGATGTTCCAGCTCCAACTGGTTAGAATTTTTTTGGAAATGAAAGGGATTTCTATGTTTTATTCATTCAATAGCCTACGCACATAAACATAGCGCAATAATAATAATTTTTGAATGAATCTTTTTGAACAGTCACTTGCTTCATTCCTGAATGAATCAGCTGTTTGAACCAATCGACTGAATGAATGATTCAGTGACAAAGACAGTGACTTGCCGTCACCTATTTAAATATAATTAAAAAAATAAAATCTAAAATATGAAATGTATCAGTTTTTTTTTATAATATTTTAAATATAAAATATTTACAATAATATATGGAAAAAAAATATGGGATTGATAAATATCAGGTATATCAGGCTATCACTACCGAAAAACACCACACAAATACAGTAACGATGTTGATGCGGGGTTGGTTCTGACCTGTAAATGGAGGTGTCCTGCAGGTCCAGCGTCTCACTGGTGTAGTCTCGCAGGATGAAGGGGAAGACGGGATATATATATTATGAATAAAATAATATATTAAAAAAAAACATTATTTAGTTGCTGGGGAAAAAAAGAAAATTGGTTATTATTGTTAACTAGAACTAAACAATGACTAATAAAATAAACATTAACTGAAATAAAATAAAAAGGCATAACTTATTTTATGTTGCCAAGGCAACATTTCTCATTTTTGTTTAATTTAAGTTGAAGTACTAAAATAACAAACTAAATAAACTAATACTATACAGACATATTACAACCCCAATTCCAGAAAAGTTGGGACGCTTTGTAAAATGCAATAAAATCAAGAATCTGTGATTTGTTAATTATCTTTAACTTTTATTTAATTAACAAAAGTACAAAGAAAAGATTTTCAAAGTTTTCACTGACCAACTGAAATGTATTTTGTAAATATAAATAAATTTAGATTTTGATGGCTGCAACACACTCCAAAAAAGATGGGACAGAAGCAAAATAAAAGTGAAAAGGTTATAGAATATCCATGTTAAACTTTTTGAAAGTTCACAGTAAGCAGGTGAATTGGTAATAGGTACCGCGTGCTTGTTGAGGTGGGTGAGGTACTCGAAGTTGGTTATCTGTCCTGAGCTCCACAGGTGAGTGAGGGCGGAGATGTTACCGTACTCCAGCAGGTTGGGCAGCTCTGAGCTCAGGATGTTGTGGTAGACGTTGTCGCGGAACTGAGATGGAGACCAGAGAGAGGATAAACCGGACGTTAGAGTTGGGCAGAATTGACATGGGAATGACATGAAGAGGAATTTACTGAATTGCACATAATAAATCATTCAGCAGCTAATGCTCATGTGTTTGACAGCGATGTCGTTACCTTGGAGGTATCAAACGCGAGCAGCAGCGTCCTGCCGTTGGTGAGGAAGATCTCCATAGCATTGTCTCTGAGCTGCCACCAGCGCTTGTGAACCTCCTTTATCTCCTCATACGTCCAGGAGAAGGAGGCCGGTTCCGTCTCTCCGTGTGGACTCTGGTGTGAAGACACATTATCAACCTCTAAAACATACATATGCCTCATCAAATCTATTAGGGGAGGGATGACCAAACTTATATCAGGTTATGAGTAACTTCACAGTAGTTAAAAAAAATAATAAATAAAATCACTGTTAGTTACACTTGCACACATTTGTATCCATCTCTCATTTGTATCCATAAAGCATAGCATTGCAGCTGTCATTAGGAGAAAAATAAATGATACTCCCACAAGCATAAAAATACACAGTATATACTGTATACTGAGAACAATATTGAGTAATAGTTGAGTAAACTTTTAACAAACTACCATACATAATATTGTGAAAAGATTCAGGGAATCCAGAGAAATCTCAGTCTGTGTAGGGCAAGGCAGGAAACCTCAGAGAATGTGTGTGACCTTTGACCCCTCAGATGGCATTGCATGAGAAACCGTCATGCTGCGATAATAAATAGAGCCACATGGGCTCAGAAGTACTTCAGAAAACCACTGTCACTTAAGACAGTCTGCCGCTGCATCAATAAATGCAACCTGAATCTCTGTTACTCGAGGAGAAAGCTATACATCGATTCTATGCAGTGATACCGCGGGGTTCTCTGGGCCAGAGCTCATCTCAGATAGTCAAAAAGACAGTGGAAATGTGTGCTGTGCTCAGATGAGTCCACAATGGACGTCGAGTTCTCAGTCAGAGTATGTGAGCGGAGCAGAGTGATTTTGCCTGGAGCTAGGAACGGATTTTTTGAAAGTCGCAGCATTGAGGTTTTCACTACCGCTCCGTCACGAGCACAAATTATGCCAACTCATGCATTAAACATAATTAGTTAGCTTGACAGATATGTGGATCACATATGAAGGTTAAAAATGGCGATGGACGAGTGCGGAAGGTTAAAGCATGTTGTAAGTTGTAGTTTGTTAATCTCCGCTCGAAACTAATGTGCTGCTACATTGCTGCACACGGACAGAACACACAAGCTCGCACATAACGTACAGATCGCGCGCATACATTCAGAAATGAAGAAAATTTGGTCAACGCTGTCCTGTGATTTATCAGCTAAAAAAAACAGAAAAGTTACAGCATATTCTTTCTGTTTCTGAAGTAACTACCCTCAGCTTCGCCATAGTAGAGACGTTGCACAGACAAGTAAGCTAAGCGAGTTAAGCAGTCATTTAATATGGACTTGGGCTAGTGTTCCAATAAACCATGTTAAAACTATTCTTCTAGTATTATGCATTTATTTTTCGTTTAATATAATTTCTGAACAGAACTTTGATTTTTCAAGCATAGTGAAATAATTTTGCCGCGGAGCAGTGTTTCTGATCAGTGGAGCGAGGAGTGGAGCGGGAGTGGGAAATGGTAAACCCGGAGCGTCGCTGGAGCGGAGTGATTATTGAATGCTTGGAGCGCGGAGGGGAAATTGTTACCGCTCCACTCCGCTCACATACTCTGTTCTCTGTCCCAAAGACCAAAGGGACCATCCAGATTTTCATCAGCGACAGCTGCAGAAGCAAACGTCTGTCATGCTATGGGAAGGTACCGTTGACATGGAGGCATATATTGGGATTGTACAGAGACACATACTGCCATCTAGATGACGTCTTTCATGGGAAGTTCATGGCTATGAGATCAAGACAATGGCAGGTTCTTTCTGAATGTGCTACAACAGCGTGGTTTCGAAGACACAGAGTGAATGTGTCTGATCAGTCCAGATCGGTCTCCTATTGAACAGGTATGACCAGTCATGAAAAGGAGAATCAGACAACAACGATCACAGACTGCTGAGCATCTGAAGTCTTGCAGCAAGCGAGATTGGACAAAAATTTTACTTGCAAAATTTAACAATTAGTATCCTCAATTCACAAACAATTAACATTTTTTGTAAAAATTGTAATTAAAAGGAAAGTTGATGTGACACAGTGGTAAACATGCCTCTGTCCCAACTTTTGGAGTGTGCTGCAGCCATCAAAATCAAAATTTGATTATATTTACCAAATAAAATTAAGTTGGCCAGTGAAAACAGTGGAATTTTAGTCAATTAAATAAAGGTTTAAAAGAATGAACAAATATCATATTTTTGATTTTATGGCATTTCACAAAACTTCCCAACTTTTCTGGAATTGGGGTCGTAAAAAAATGACTAATAATAAAAATTACAAAAACACACAACAAAATTACTAAAACTAAGGTGAAAAACAAAATATACAAATTAAATCTACTTTAAAATTTTAACGAAAACAATAATAGTATATCAATGATACTAAAATAACACAGGATTTTATAATAATAATAAGGTGGTAAAGCCTATTTTTGAATAATTCAGTGAATTAATTTTTTTATGGACAAAAACTAAAAGATCAGATTGTTCATGATAAATGAAATGATACATTTTTACTATTACATAGAACCGTATATTCCTAACGTTTAGCAAAAGAACTTACTTGGTTATCAAGTGTCTCTGCAACATTATCCTCCACAAAGTACATCCCAGATTTTCCTGCCGACCCATAAAACAAGATGTGACGACAATTAACAGCCAATGCAAGACTGATGTTATGGAGGGTGGACGAGTCTTACCCAGCAACAGCTCTCCTGCCGTCTCTCTAGAGGGCGCCACACTTACACACTTTCTCGTAAACCTAAACAGAAGTTTTTTAATTCTTTGAAATTCTGCAATGTGACTCTGAAAACAGACTAGTTACTAGTTGTGCAGTGAGACGGGAGTTGTGTGAGTACCTGATGGGCTCACTGGTGGCTTTGTCCTTCACTATGGTTGAAGAGGAATGAGTCTTGTCCTCAAACAGGAAGGCCAGAGGAGCCTTGATGGCATCTGTGACGGACAAACCACATGCATGAAACCAATCAAACCAACAGCATCAAAAGAGTTTTTAAGTTCTGGCAAAGTTCTGTCATTCCAACAACCACTTTCTGTACAGGCAGTACTGCGGTGCTATCATGGTACAATGATAGTATCTGATGATAACACTGTATGATTAACATATTCATAAACCATTCTGATTAAACAGCACTCCAACGTATTTGAAAGAATACCATGGTATTACAGGTTTTGGTAATTTTGTGTTACTGTCATACGCATTTGGTCATCTAGAAAGCACATGCAGATCACATTTTTTACATTTCGTCACAAAGTGTAAAAAAGTACAATTTATTTGATTTATTTACTTATTCACTTACTGATTATTTTACTTATTTACTTAGTAATTTATTTATTTACTTACTATCTTATTAATTTATTAAAATTAATTCTTATTTGATTAGTAATTTACTTATATGTTTATTTATTTACTTATTCATTTTACTTAATTACGTATTAAATGTACTTATGTACTTATTTGCTTAGTAATTTACTTATTTACCTTTTATTTTATTTACTTGTATGTTTATTTATTTACTTATTCATTTTAATGAATTATTAAATGTACTTATTTACTTAGTAATTTATTTATTATTATATTTACTTATATACTTATTCATTTTATTTATTAAATGTACTCATTTACTTAGTAATTTATTTATTTACTTATGCACTCATTAATTTTACTTGTTAATTTTATTTAATTATTTATTACATTTATTTATTTACCAATTAATTTACTTATACTGTATATATTTATTTACTTACTTATTTTGGGGTGAAAAATGACCCAGACGTGTTCTTGAAAGATTTTCCCATTTGTTTATGCTTTTGATTAAACAAACTGCATCATGAAAATACACTGTAGAGAGTCTAGTTTTAAGTGTTTTCTCCAGTCAGAGGGCTGGAAGCTCACCATCTAGTTTGTGTCGGTCTTTGAGCAGATATTTGTTAGGGATGGTCAGGTAGCAGCGCTGCAGGCGTCTCCGCTCTCGGTTGGGCCCCTCGGTGGGATCCAGCTGCCAGGACGTGGGGTAAGATGACTGATCATACCACACCGCCCTGTTCCATGGGAAAAAACAACATCATACAGGTTTGAAACAACATGAGGATGAATAAATGATGACATGAGTGAACTATTTTAGTTGTGGCGCTCCAGTGAGTGATGCTGACCGGTCGTGAGTGAGCTGCTGCACGAGCTCCTGCCAGTGGCGGCTGGCGCTCAGGTCGGTTTTATAAAGGCCTCTGATGTGCTGCATGACCTTCTTCCGCTCCATGCCCTGCCTGAGAGACACGTTCTGAGTGACGTCAGCGGCGATCTTCGAGATGTCTTTCGACTTCCCATCCAGCCTCTGCAACAGGCTGAAACGGAGAACGGAAGAGCTCAGAAAAATGCCGAAGGCGTGTGTTATTTTGAGATTTTGTGTTTCTCACAAAGCGCTCACCTCCTCTGAGTGTTAGCCAGCTTCTTTTCCCAGGCTCCTTTGCTGGTTCTTGCTTCTGACTCGTATTTCAGTTGCTCCTTAATAAGGAATAGTAAAACAGCTTCAGATGAACATTAATAAGATGCAAACACTTCATCTGAGCAGTTCAGAACTACAGACTATTTAAAAGTAGTCATATTACTAGCATTCACAGTACAAGTAAACTGCAAAAAAAGGCTCATGCGAACCTGGACTAATATTATATGTAGGCCGCAGGGGGAAACTAAAATGCTAAAATGTGCAGAAAATGACCTTTATTACTCGAGAAACCAGTAGAATCAACCTCAGCAAATAAAAGTAAAAGACTAACAAATGAATATATAAATTACTATGTGTTTGCTCCAGTTTTACATGCATATTTGACATGTTTTACATATTGCTCCAGTTTTACATTTACATGTATGCATTTGAAAGATGCTTTTATCCACACTCAAACAACAAGTAGGCCTAAATTAAAAATGTATGCATTTAAAATTTTCATCCATTTGATGTGATGCATATTTGTCAGCCATGCATAAATGAAACAGGTCAGATTTCTGTAATTGTACTAATAAACTGAATGTTTTTAAATACACAATAACCAGCTTTATGTATGTATCATCAATAAATCCAATTTGTTTAAGTCTCATACAGTTCAACTGACTGAATATTGCTTGTTCCACAGCTAGACATATTTTAAGCATTTTCATACTTTTTCACTGAATAAAATGTCTTTGTTTTTGCAAATACAGATTTATGTTGATTCTTTCTGGAATAAATGCATTTTGAAAATATGATTATTTAAATAAATTCAAATAGATGCAAATAGTTAATATTGAACTATGGCATGATTTTGTTGAAAGCAGAAATCTGACTGGTTTCATTTTTGTAAGACTGACAAATATGAGTCACGTTAAGTTAGTCTGTTCATGTTAAAACTTTGAAAATTGCAATTATACTGAATTCAAGTTTATGCATTCCCTGGGAATCAACCCACATTCTCGCGCTGTTGTTTGAGCTTGTTTTAACCAAACAGCGTATAACCTTAGAGAGTGTGTCTGGCCATGCGCACCTCTTTGATGGCTTTGAGTAGGTCTGGTTTGGCGGGAGCGCTAGGTGGGATGCAGCGGTGGCCGCAGAGTTTCAGCGCCGTCATGAAGGTGTTGGCAGACGCCTGCTCTTCTTTGCTCAGGGCGTCTTTGTGATCGTGTAACAGCTCGTACAGATACAGAGCCAGCTTGGGCCCGTGCTAATAAAAAACACAACACAAAAGGAAGGATTTTGAGGAATTCTAATTAGAGGCATTTACAATATATCAGTATTATTTCTGCTATTTATCCATTGAAGATAAAAGATAAAACATATTGATCAGCGGGGGCCGCAGAGTTTCAGCGCCGTCATAAAGGTGTTGGCAGCCGCCTGTTCTTCTTTGCTCAGGGCGTCTTTGTGATCGTGTAACAGCTCGTACAGATACAGAGCCAGCTTGGGCCCGTGCTAATAAAAAACACAACACAAAAGGAAGGATTTTGAGGAATTCTAATTAGAGGCATTTACAATATATCAGTATTATTTCTGCTATTTATCCATTGAAGATAAAAGATAAAACATATTGATCAACAACATAAATAAATTTCCAAACCCAATTTCCCTTTATTTAACCATTGAAGTTCATGATTTTTTTTGTTTCACCCTCAAACATGTCTGTGGGCATGTCAAATTTGCATTGGTGTAAAACTTAGAAAAACGTAGCAAGATTGCAACAATAGGCATTTACGGTTGCAAAGTTTCACCACTATTTTTGATACAGTAGTGCAAGTTTTGAATTCACAACACAATTCAGCACACAAACGCATATATTTCAACCAGTAAGGATACAGTAATTAAAAGAAATTGCACTATATTTTCATAAATAATGATATAAAAACATTTTAAATACAATAAATTTTTCACATTACGTAATTAAAATATACATGTATTATTCTTGCCTTTAGTTTTTTTTCAGTCTTCATGCTGTACATTTTCTCTAAATTGTGTAATAATTAGATGTTTGTATTAAGTTGTGTCTTGAGATGTTTTTTTTTTTTAAACCAATCAAAAAGATCCATCTTTTAAGAGTGTTTCTGATTTAGCCTTCAATATCAAAAATGATTAGTTGGAAAGTTTGATTCATTTTCATGAACCGAATACAGTATTATATATATATATGAAAATAATGACAAAACAGCCCAGAAAACACCTTAAAATAAAAAAAAATAATTGATTTTTATACCATTCAATGAATAGACTCAAAAATAAAAGTTGCAAAAAGACCCTTTTGCAAACATTTCTGCAATGCTTAGAAAAAAGGTCTCAAATTTATGTCAAAAACTTGTTCCAGAAGTGTTTTGTGCGACTATTTTGTCCATTCGTCCCTTTAGCAAGCTGTGGCCATTAATACAAAATTGTTCCCACCAAAACTGCTGTTGTGATAAATTTCAGAGTACCAGCTTCTGTCATGTGTAGTTTTTACCCTCATTTAGTCAAAATTAGGTGTTAGTTAATTGCTTTATGCAAATGTTGCAGTTCTGTTATGCTGGGTCTCTGAGGGTTAATGGTCTTTTTAGTGCCAGTCTGCAGTATAATGGAGAAAGGACGGCACTGCTGCCATGGAAACAGTATCATGAAAATGTTTCTGTGGGTTATTTACTGTATGTCAGAAGCAGAGCAGTGAAATGTCACTGTCTTCCTCCCAACAGAGGAAGTGTGCATGTGGGCTGTGCTTTGATTGGATACACAAATCTGATCAGCAAATAACCAAAGCAAAATGTCACACCGTCTCTGGTCGGCATGTAAAAACAAAAAGCCATTTCTGTCAACATGTCAGCTTGTCAGACTGCAGCGCCCTCACCTCGAGGCCGGGACTCAGGCTTTCTCTGAGGATCTCTGAGTAGCTCTGCTCGTGGACGAACTCTAGCGCCTCCTTCCTGTCCTCCAGAGGAACGGCGGGGCTGAGCGTGTGCACCAGCATGCGGCCGATCTGGACCCTGAACGTGTCACGGCAGGACCAGAGGATTCGCTTCCACTGCTGGCGAGGAGCACCTCCACGACCGGTGCTGCCCTGAGGAGATGAACCATCACAAAAAACACGTGTTAGTGAGCGCAGGGCCAGTGAGGGACACTTTGTCTAAAAGAATCAACAGAAGAACATTAGCATTTATCACTAAGGGTGCTCCGATCGGGATTTCTGGAGCCAATCACCGATCACAGGAAGCAGTATCTGCCGATACGATCACCGATACCGATCTTTTTGAAGTCTTCTTTTTATCATGTAAAATTATTTACAGTGATGTTCCAATCAGGATTTTTACAGACATTCATTCAGGGCCTGAATTTCATTTTTGAAAATGGGGGGAATTTCCCTCTTGGGTGATTTTTTAATTTGAGGGGGCATTTTTTTGACATTTTTCAAAAATATATAATCATCTCTCCAGAATATTTGATCATGCAGTGCATTTTTGCTTTTACAATGGGGCAATTGCTATTGCTGCACAATAGCTTACACACAGCACAAGCCTGATTTCATGAGCTGTATGTGAGGCAGCCTTATGTGTGTGCACTTTGAGTGTGTTTGAGCGCACCGTCTCTAGGAGAGTGGCCTTGACCGCCTTGACCGCCGATCAAACTACCCAAAGCGATTATTGGCCGACAGCGATCGGTAGCCAATCAATCGGAGCACTCCTATTTATCACAGGCTAAAGTCTTTTGTGTTTTTATTTGGCCATTAGGTATTGCAAAGACCATGTAAAATAAAAAAATCTAAAAATAAAATCTGTTAAAAATATGAACAAAAACTATAATAGTATATCAATGATACTAAAATAACACTGCAATAGACTTTCACAATCCTTTCTTGTCACAAGATTCATATAAAAAAATAGTTTTAGTAATTTGGCTGTTTTTTGTCTTTATTCTGTTCCTTTTTTTAACATGACTATTTAATTTTTATGAAGTTTTAGTTTTAGAAACTAAATGAAAACTAGCTGAAATAAAAAAAAAAAAATTATACTTTATTTTATTTCCGTTACTGTTTACTTTATTTCAACTAACAAATTTTTTATTGAGTTAAGTTTTAGTTAATGATAATAAACAGTCTTTGCGATACCTAATGGCCAAATAAAAAAGCAAAAGACTTGAACGTGATAAATGCATAGTTTTCATGGGTAATTACATTACTTATTTAATTTTTTTAATATATATAATATATATATATATATATATATATATGTGTGTGTGTGTGTGTGTGTGTAAATATTGCTGTTTATTAATTATAGGGATGTCAAAAAACTTTTTTTTTAAATAATACATTTAATGAATTACATAATACACTAATTAATTAATCAATTTAATCATACATAATCAAATATATTTGCTGAGAAAGGCCCCCAAATGAAGACAATTCAAAGATTACAGTCTCATCAGCTAAAAAGATGTTGATTCAAAGGCAGAGTTAAACATTTGATTTCTCTGAAATAATGTGTGCTGAATCCAAAAATAAAACCAGTAACAAACAAAAAAAGGGTAATTTGCTGCCATGCTGATGTCTACTGTAAGTAACTTACCAAGCCGATCTTTATGCCCTCCATCATTATTTTGAGAATATCTTTCCGGAAGCTCTTCATGTTTCTTGGTGGGATCGGGGTGGACGGTCTGGAGCCGTTCTCTTCGGTCGTCTGCTCGCCAAGTAACGGCACAGACATCGAATGATCAGGAGACTCGGGAAAGTTTAGGAAGTCAAAGAAATCATGTTTGATGTCTGGAGAATAATGACAAACTGTCAGCGTGGAACAAATTTATTCAGTCTACATGGATTGTTTCTTATCACTAACAAAAAAGTACCATGGTAGGTACGGCATATACTTTCAGAAGCATGTAAATTGCATTCAAGTGTTTTGTAATGGCTGCTCACAGCGGATGATAATGTTTATGAGCAGATATTAATCACAGATTTGATGTTTGTATTCTGTACCTTGATAGATGAGTCTATTAACGGCCAGAACCAAGAGTCTCTGCAGTCTCTGGACCAGCTCCGTCTCGCTGGCTCTGATGGGGTTTTCTTGACTCATCCTGCGCTGCATCATCTGGTTAAGTTCATCGCTGGCCACCGAGCGCATTCGCGTCAGCAGTGAGTCTGACTGGGCCACCGTGAACCGCCTCCGACCTGATAAAAACACGCGTGTAGTGAACACAACAACATGCTTACTGAACTGTGTAAACAGCAGAGCATCATAAATCACACAAATACACAGAGACTGACAGACAGACTGAGAGATAAGTGATGATTAAGAGGTTAGCCTAGGCAGGTTGTCATTTACACCTGAAACGCAGCATGCATCCTAGTATGATTTTTTTGAAAGAAGCCTCTTCTGCTCAAAAAAGCTGTATTTATTTGATAAAAAATACAGTAAAATTGCAAAATATTATTACAATTTAAAATGACTGTATTCTATTGTAATATATGTTAAAATGTAATTGATTTCTGAAATCAAAGCTGTATTTTCAGCATCATTACTCCAGTCTTCAGTGTCACATGATCTTCAGAAATCATTCTAATATGCTGATTTGCTGCTCGAGAAACATTTCTGATTATTATCAATGTTGAAAACAGTTGTGCTGCCCAATATTTTAGTGGAAACTGTGATACATTTTATTTTTCAGGATTCACAGATGAATAGAAAGTTAAAAAGAACAGCATTTATTTGAAATAGAAATATTTTGTAACATTATAAATGTATTTCCTGTCACTTTTGATCAATTTAATGAATCCTTGCTGAATCAAAGCATTAATTTCTTTAAAAAAAAATGATGTTAATGCCAGGTGTAAATGAGAGAGAATGTGAATGATAAATCAACAGGCAGAGTTGCAGGAAGAGTCTTAAGAGTCCTGGAGCAACTCGGAGTTTATTGAGGATAACACACACAGGCACCAGTAGTCCAGGACACTGGGCGGATGAGCAGCAGACACGCTTTAATCACTTCACTGCACACGCTCAACATCCCTGAGAAAGCCAGGATGTTGTCGCCTGTTTTTTGCGGATAGGGTCGAACGCTACCTGTGTCTGAGGGGAACATGTAGGAGTTTGCTCCGGTAGGGGAGGGGAGGGGGGAATCCTGGGACAGGAAGCTGAACGGGGAGGGCAGAGGAATCAGGCCGTACGAACAGTAGTGCTGCCGGGGAATACGGGGAATTATGGAGTCTTTCAGCCCCATTGAACCTTGGGAGTGTGAGGGGAAATGATAATACAACAGAAACACATGAACGGCGATCCGTAACATCCAGGGCTGATGGTTAAGACAACATGAATGAGATGTAACACAGACATATGGATATGGAAATACATCTTTTGTTTGTTTATAGTGTGTTAGTACGTGCATATTCAAATTTACCAACAAAATTCTGTCCTAAAAAGTGTGTGAGTTACGGGAAAGAAATGTATTTTACATTACAATTTCAAACAAATCTAAGTAATAGATGTAAAAAAAATTTTTTTTTATAAAAAATAATCTGCATAATTTAATGTGTAAAGTCACCCGAATACAAAAGGTGTAACAATTTAGTTTAAATGGTTATATCTCTTAATAAAAAAATAAATAAAAAAATCTGAAAATAAATAAATAAATTATTATTAATAATAATAATAAATTGTGTATTTTGATCATTTTATTTCATTTCCAAAGCTTTTCCCATAATAAAAACTATGGATTTTTTTTTTATGTGCTGCTTCCGGGTCAAAACGGACCCGAATGAAACATTAACTAAAACCATCAAAAAACATTAACATTACTTTTTCAAAATAAGTTAAAAAGTATATATAATGAAACTATAATAAATAATAATAATAAATAAATATAAGTGAGACAAACACCAACTCCTTTGACCTCTAAAGCTCCTCACCTGCGATGCTTTTGCGTTTCTGCTGTAGCGCGTGATGCGGTGAAGTGGGCACGTGAACGTAGCTGCTGGATTTCTGAGGGTCCTGATTGGCCGTGGTCTTAATGAAATCGATGGCTGCCTGGATCACGCGGAACTGCAGTGCTGTGGCCATTTCTGAAACGACAACAGAGAATTTACTATTTTGTTTGAATGTCACATATCATTGCCATATAAAAGTATTAGTTTTCTTTACCCTGTGTGCGCCGAACTTTGCTGGTTTGCATGTAGCCCAATAGGGTGATCAGGTCTTCAATGATACGGAAGTACTGAGATCCCGAGGAGCTGCAGGAGTGGATGGTGATGGCCACCAACAGCTGCTGAATGTCACACACCACCAGCTTGTAGTCATTCGGAGGAATCCTACAGAGCAACAACAATAACAAGCTACAGGTAGTCCAAAATGCAGCGGCTAGAGTCCTTACCAGGTCAAGAAAATATGATCATATTACCCCAATTTTACAGTCTCTGCACTGGCTACCTATTAAGTTCAGTATCAGTTACAAAATATTATTACTTGCCTATAATGGCCCTTAATGGGTTAGCTCCTGCGTACCTAACTAGTCTTCTACCACGCTACAATCCATCACGCTCCCTAAGGTCGCAAAACTCTGGACTTTTGGTAGTACCTAGGATAGCAAAGTCCACTAAAGGAGGTAGAGCTTTTTCGCATTTGGCTCCCAAACTCTGGAATAGCCTTCCTGATAACGTTCGGGGTTCAGACACACTCTCTCTGTTTAAATCTAGATTAAAGACACATCTCTTTGGCCAAGCATTCAAATAATGCATCTCATAA